CTAAATATTGGGAATGAATAATTGGGCTGAGATTTTTTTGCACATAATATGATATTTTGCAGCCCAAACCAAAAAAATAAATCCGAAAATAGAAGTTCATACCAGCCTTTATTTACTGCAAGTGATGCACTGAGTTTGCCTACTTGAATTTGTGAGTATTCAATAAAACTTATTTTTTCTTTTATATGCATTGCTGACCAATATAAATATCTCTTATTTGTCTCAAAACTTGTTGCTAGTAATTTCTTATTTATTTTTTAGTTTACTAATTTTACTTTCTTACATGAATTGTGACCCCAATATGCAACAAAGCCAAGTTCTGTGTGGACTCCATGTACACTTACACTTTCAAACACTCTACATTATGCGTTAATTATTGTGGTTTGTTTGTTAAAAAATTTATTGAAAGTATTTATTTTTCTAGGAATAAATGGATAAAGGCTAATATCTGTTAAAAAAAGCTTTTGTTGTGTTGTAGTTTATTGTTGTGCCTGAATCATGTTAATATTAATGTGATGATTTTTTAATACATTTTTGTAGTAATGAATGGAGTAGAACTTATATAGCCGGCCAACCTATGTTTTTAGTTGAAAGTAAAAAATTATTGTTTTTAGTAAGAATTTTGTTCATACTACCAAAACTTGTTTTTAGTAAGAATTTCGTTGATCAATCAATATTTTTTTTTTTTCATCATTTGCAGGAAAAACGAACTACGCGAAATTCTCTTATATTGATGATATATGGGATTTATATGGATTTGTACATGATTTGTTTTAATAATATTGATTGTTGATAGAATTATTAGTTTCTTTTTCTTTTGCTTTATTAATGTTTTTTATAGAGAAGTTAAAAAAGAGTGACAAAAATTAATACCAATTCAAGTGTCTTGTCAAATTTATTAGTTAAATAAAAATTTATAATTGGGTAATGTTACTGTTGCAATTAGAGTAAATAACACACCTTTTTTAGTCAAAAAAAATGGTTTTGAGTGGGAAATAAAAGTGAGATCACGTCAGATTTAGTATTTTAGTAATTAATTCAAAAATCGTAACATTAAAAACGTTATTGGTAGAACAAAAAACATACCTTTTTTAGTCAAAATGTGTTTTGGCGGGAAAGTGCCACATAGGTATAATTTAATAGGTTTTATTAAATGTTGTTAGCTAGTAATTATCTTATCTTCTTATTTATAAAAAGAAGCTTGTGCCTTCTTTTTCTGACATGTGGCGCTGCATTTTTATGCGGCCACGTCGCCCTTCACCGAACGTCGTCGTTTAGATACGACACGCCATCGTTTTGAATTACAATCTTGCACCAGGTTCGCGATTCCTCTGCTTCATAAATTAGAATAAAAAATCACGAAGGCTAGGGTTCGTGCCATTCCCGTTCACTTCTGCCTATTTTGCCCCACCGGCGTCCCGTTCTCGCCGCTCTCATCGACGGAGGTTACCTAGGTATGGTTTCTCCTCCTCATCTTTGCTTCAAATGTTTGACAAACTTCCCCCGACTTATGTTGTTGTTTGGAAAAATTGCCCAAACAAATCTAGGACATCGTCGTTCACATCCTGTTGCAATTGAGTTCTTATAGATCTGTAAGATTGGTCCTGTAAGACTTTCTTTATACTATTTTTTTTTTTAACTAACTATCAACATATAGATACTTAACTATTGTGTGGATTTTTATATCCTTTTGTCGATAAACGTGTTTTTAGATTATTATTTTCTTGAGCATTTGTGAGGAGCCTGTTGATCTGTCTCCTCAGTCTACAGTACCTCCGCCACCACCACCACCATTAGTCTACTGAATCAAATAAAGGTAATTTTCATCAGATTAAGTGGTATCATCATTTTCCATTCTCTCGGTCGCAAACAGTTTACTAATTTTCGATCAACTTAAATTTAATGGACAAACAATAGTAAGAGCATTCTTACAGTTTACTATTT